CCGCGGCCCCCCCCCCCCCCACCCCAGCAGACCGGGAAGACGCGGGCGGCGGACCGAGACGCACCGCGGTCCCACTGCCTGGGTCCTCCGCGGCTTTGCTCCGCGTCTCCCTGTTCTGCTGGTCTCCCTGTTCTGCTGGTCGCAGCTGTCCCGCTGCCGGCGTCCTCAGAGGCTTTGCTCCTCATCTCCCTGGTCTGCTGGAGTCCAGCAGACCAGGGAGACGCAGAGCAAACCCTGTTTGTAACTGCAGATCCGACATAAGTCGGATCCGCGTAACTCGGGGACTGCCTGTATTGATCACTGCTGAATCATATTTGCCATATTTCTTTTTCTCTGTTTGTAATGTGAAATATGGTACTCCTCTGTTTCATTCACTTGCCATACTCAGCTGTGGAGCTGTAATAACCACAGAACTTGAAGCCAAGCTCTGGATTGTATGTCTACAGCTGTGGCATTTGAATCATTGGCTGAGTGATTGGTTACTGTAGTAGCACCACCATTGTATTTTCTGATGAGTGTTTTCCACATCATGAATTGGGGCACAGTCGAACATCTGTGAACCTGACTCATATGTTGACATTTTCTGAGGTTTAATTTACTGTCTGCTGCATGCTTTTTTTTAAAAAGAAAAGGACTATATTCTGAATGTATTGTATGGATGCCACAGCATTTTTCCTTTCTTCTTTGTGTTGAGGTCTAGGTTGATTACAATAGGTATGTCTAAGATGCCAGCTTGCATCTTAGAATTGATTCCTTGCAGTTTTTTCTGCCCCACAGTGGCCAGGAGCTCACCCAGATCTCCTTACCACAGAAACTTCCTAAAATCAGCTGAGTAATTTGTTTACATCCCAGACATGTCCCAGCCAGCTTTTGATTTGTGCCATTGGGATTGACCCATAAGCTTCACTTCTTTTTCTGAGGTGCCTGCAACAGCTGCTCCCCATGCAAGCTTCAGAGAGAGAGAGCTACATCAAGAAAGAGCCAGATGCAGAAGGAGGAATCTGTATCTTCCCACTATTCCCCACTCCTTGCCATTAAGTTCCTTGCTTAGGAACTTGTCTGGCTTTGTGGGCAAAGTGTAGTTTCCCTTCCCAGGCTGAGTGGGGCCACCTCAGACTCTTTTCTCTGGATGGGAAAGAGAAAAGGGGGGAGGGGACCTGGAAACAGGGCAAGTAGCTCACATTTCCATGAGGTGAGTGAAGCCATAAGGGCAGTGCACTTAAGACCCAGTAAGTTCCACTAATATCCACACATCTGATTGCAGAGCTTGGTTGGCCCCTAGCTCCACACCCCTTTCCTCTCCTTTCCACATCCTGAATCCCCTTGGATTGGAGATGGAGACATTGGATACTGCACAGATGCTGCCAACTCCTGTGTGCAGCAAGGGGCCTTTTGGTTCAGCTCTGTCTCCTTTGTGGCCAACTTGACTTCCCCCTCTGAGGCAGGATTATGGGGACAAACTCCCAAAAGGAGAAATAAAGTGAGTAATAAAATCCACACTGACAGGCCTGCCAATAGGGAGGGATGGGGCAAAAGGGGGACAGTTACTAGGGGCCCGATGGTTCAAAGGGGGGTTAACTCTGGCTTATTGCCCACCCCTTGTAAGGGGAAGAAGACCAATAGCCAAAATGAGAGTTTGAGAATAACATGGTAAAATATATTTTAATACAAAAAGAGAAACAATACGAGCCCTTTTCAGGCAAAAGAGTATTGCATATTGTGCAACTTGCATTTAGGAAACTACTGTTATCTCAGACAAGCTGTAGCTAGCTATCCATCTTCATGCACCAGTACTAGAAGAATAGGGGTTTCCCGCTACACCTGTCAGATGTTGAAAATATCTGGCTTGAATCCATGCTGTTCTGCCCCCATGTTGCAAGCAGACTTAAATACTCACAGATCTTTGGACCTTACTATTCAAAAAAGGATTTCAGGTGAGCATGGATAAATGTTCCTATTACCTGGGTTAAGCAAATTGATTCATCTTACTTCACATGGTGATTTTCTGTATAATAGATAGTTTTTAAAGCTACTCAGTATGAAGCTGTGTCTTGCATGTGAAGCACATAGATGGCTTTTCTAGAATAAAGGACATACTTTTTTTTTATTGTGCCTTAACTCCCAAGAAACAATTGAAATTGATGCTATTTCAGGGTTCTCAAATTTCATTGCACCATGATCCTCGTCAAACAATAAAAATTATTACACAGCCCCAGAAGGTGGGACCAAAGTCTGAGACCCACCACTCCTTGGGCGTATCTAGACTACGCTAGACTTTCGAAAGAGGATATGCAAATTCCTCACTTTCGAAAGCAGCACTTTTGAAAGTGAAAGTAATTAAGTTGCGGTTTTGTTGGTGAACCCTCCCGTTTGTCAACAGCCACTTTTCCTTAAAAAATGAGGCTTACGCAGCTTGTCTGCAGGAATTTGCATATCCTCTTTCGAAAGTCTAGCGTAGTCTAGATACACCCCAGGTGGAGACCCGAAGATGAAGGCTTCAGTCTCAGGCAGGGGGCTTGTAATCTGAGCCCCGCCACCTAGGGCTGACATCCTCAAGATTTGGCTTTGAATGCAGGCTCTAGTCTGGCAATCACATTCAAATGGAGAACAACTGCTCCAACTTTATTTCAAATTACAAGTGCTCAATCCTACATTAAAAACTTTACTACACTTGCAAAATCGAGCATTCGTAAATTAGGATGTGCCAGAATTAAGATTACTTTGTCTCAAAGGAGCATCCTCCATTACTCTGTACAGATGGCACATGTATAGTCTTATCAGAATACTGAGAGAGGCTCAACCATGCTCAGGCTGGATTTTCAGAGATTAAAGCACCTAAAATTTATATAATATCTGAGCAGGTGTGAACTGCAAATTATTTTCCAAAGGTTTATAACTTGGCCAAATATAGGTGGATTTTTATGGTAACTACACCTGGCACATCCCTGACACAATGATTACAACCCCTGTGAAATTTCAAGTTCTTGCTTCCATAGCTTGTGTGCAAGGAGTTCTTAGAGAAATTTGCCAGAATATTTTAATATGAACAAAACAGTATTTTTCCCTAATTTAATTCTCTAAAATGACTGAACCATTTTGGCTGAAATTCCAAAAACAAATTTGAGAGAGAAATATACTCATAATGTAAAATTCCAGCACAAACTGTAAAGTTTGTGAAAGTTATAAGCTGTTGAATACCAAATTTTATAATGGAAAGTGTCAGGCAAACATAACAACAATAGGTGGTGCTAGTGATTCTATATATAAACCAACACAGTAAAATATATCCAAGACCACAACAACCGGACTCTAACATCCTTAAAAACGTGGTATACACCTGGCATTTAATTAAAATAGTAATTGTATTTCTTGCAGTGTTTACTCTTCTAATTGTCAGTAAAGTAAAAAATGTTCTCCTGTTTAAAAAGGCATAATTGATAGAGTAGCCTAACTCTATGCTCTTTTTAATAGAAAGAGTTCACAATGCTAATTCTAATATAGATACTTATTTTACATTATATTTGTTTGAAATTTAAAACCAGAAACATTCTCTAAGGCTACATCTAGACTACATCCCTCTGTTGGCAGAGGGATGTAAATGAAGCACTTTGAAAGTGCAAATGAAGCCGGGATTTAAATATCTCGTGCTTCATTTGCATAA